ACATGCACCTCCAATTTGACTCCATAAGAGTGGTGCGAGGCGTGGCGCTAAGCTCTTGTTTGTATTGCTCATTAACTTGCTTTTTATGAGCGCATAATTAAGATGAATATTTCATGACCTCCACTGAGACGGTTTTATTTGATTTCTTTCTTGCATAACCAACTTCCTGATGTTTAAAAAAATCATTTTTTATTTTAATCATTTTGTTTTAGGAAAAACATTTTAGTTTCTGGGTCATCAATTTATAGCTCTTTTTTAACATTAAAGGAAGGTGAGTATCCAAATTAGAATTATTTTTTTTTTTTTGGTCTTGGTGCCATTTGATATAGTTTCTTTCATTTTTTCAAAAAAATCCACGTCTTTGTTCTTGATTGAATAACGTCACCTACTGGCAAAATTCAGGCATCTGCACACTGCGTATCAGTGAGGGTGTGTCATTTCTTTCTAACCCCAATCAGGATTATTCGGCCTTGCAGACGGTCGTCTTCTTTGTCACTCACTGTAAAATGTGAGTAAAGTAGTAGTTCACAGTCAGAATGCAGATGAGTTGCTGAATGAACGTCTAATACCAGATGCTAACACTTCAAACGTGTTTTGGAATAAGCCTAATAATCCTTTCGTTTAAAAAAAAAAAATGCAGCTGTAATCAAACCGAGATACTTTTGAGTGCTGCAGACAAAGACGGCGACTCCTGCTGTGATTCGGTTTTGTTGTGGTCTCCCGCTGACTTCTCGCTTCTTATCTCTCTCACGCAGCCTGACTGCGGTGACACCAGTGGCTTCCCTCCCACCCCGTGCCTTTTACATTCTCAGCGTAGCAACTTTTGTCAAAAATAAGAACCCCCTCGGTGAAATCTAATTTCGCCCCCAGCGGTGCGCATTCGGCATGGAGATGCTGTTCAAAGTAACCGTGGCACTTCTGATACTTCAATCGTCGCGTACTTTGACGCATTCATCACCACGCTGTCGGGATTTTTTTTTAAAGGAATTTAAGGGAAATATGTTGCTCGCCGAAAATTATAGTTGCCGAAGTCATTTTAGTGCTCACATTACAGATAGAAAGTGCAAATTTGCTTGCTATTTTTATGTTTATTAATTTTGATAATCTGCAAATGCTGAAGCGAGCAAATTAGATTTTTCTTGATTTTGGAATTTATTGGGGAGTGGAGGGGGGGGGGGCTTCTTGTTTTTGTTTTCCCAAAACGTTGGGCTCTTAGTCATGATTTTAGTAGTTAGCAAGATTGCTGGACCAGCCAAGACACCTCATATATTTGTGCTCACACGAAAACGACCGGCCTTTTAAACACGTTTACAATGATCGTTTGCATCGTCCGCTATTCCCAAATTCACCTGTTCACATTTTCTTTTTTGTGGAAACTTAACCTCAGCTAGTTGCTAAAAAAAAAAAAAATTATCTATTAGCATCTTTTGTAGTTTTATTTTCCGAAAATGCCACAAAATGGTGCCAAAGTTCTGGCAAATAGGAAAGTAGTAATTTGTGTCACTCAAGTTTGTTGAAATCCTTCTTAGAGACCAACTTTGTTGGAGGGGAGGACCTAGTTTAGACTGAGTTGTTAGTGGAAGAGAGTCGTGAGAGTGCATGTTCATGCGCAATTTTTGGTGCATATTAAAAAAAGAAAATCTGTTTTTATGAATGATTTTATGTTGGTTTGGATCACAGTAAAAACTGCTCTTGGCAATAACATATTTATCAATAGCGCACCAGTTACTCCAGTTTTTTTTTTCCCCTTCTATCAGGAGTTTACTTAGACAAGTACATATTCCAGGCTGCGTAAATCACAGGATTGTGGCAGCTCACCATGCCACGAACAGGAATTGTGTTGCTTCTGTGGACTTGTTCTTGACTGTAACCCCCGTGATAGAAATGAACCAATCACAACGTTGTCACATATCGACAAGAGAGTGACTATAATAAGAAAAGAAAAAAAAGAAGACATTTGGAAAGTAGCGACATGCTTTTCATTGTCACGGTGACTGGAATAGTACCTAAGATTTTAGTTTGTGTTCAAGATGAACTCTTTTATCCAGCCCACTCCCACACTAACGATTTTATACTTTTTTTTTAATATTCACTGAGTCTTTGCGCCCCTCCCCACTCCCAGAAGGAAGCATTGGCAACCCTTATTTGACTTCTCAAACGGTTTCTCATAACGCTCTTTGTCAGCGGTGGGTCTCGTCATGTTTCCCTCCAGCTCTTTGTGCGAGGGCAGAAAAACAGCCGCATCCATCCTGGAAATGTTTTTGCTCGCGGAAAGAGGAGAGGGAGCAGAGTGCATCCCTTGCATTTGTTTTGAGCCGAGAGCCGGGACGTTATTTTCGCAGGTGTGCACCACTGACTGCCGCAATGTTTTTTAACCTCTCGTTTCTGCGGTGGGTGGGGTTTGCTCCGCGAGGTCCAGATGGCTCATGAATCATGCAAGGAAAAGAAAACGGGAGATTGTCAAACGATTCACTTTTTTTTCTGACAACACAAATTTAACCCCTCACCATCTTAAGCTCCACCCCCAAAGATGTGGATGAAGATGTCATATTAGTTTACTCATCGTCGTCCTTGTTTTAGGCTTCTCCAAGGTCGCCGCAGCCCCTTCGTTTGGCAAGGTGACCAACCCCCCTCCCAAAGGCCCGGACCGGCCCATCCCGCAGCCGCACCCCCAGGACCTGAACTCAGTGGTGCAGAGAGCCGAGCACATTCCAGCCGGAACGCGCACCCCCATGTGCAACAAGTGCAACAACGTCATCAGGTAGTCACGGACGTATCGACAGTAAAACAGTTCAGTGTCAGAAAAGTTCCGGGGCAGATTATCTGTAATATAGCGAAAAAATATCTGCAATATAAAAACAGATATGTGCGACTTACAAAATCTGGGATGCAGTGAGACTGCAAGGAAGTATCAGATGCTCGTGGCAAGTACTGACATGGAAGTTTATCGTTGATGTCACGAGTCCTGCAACTTTTTTGACACATCTGGTTGACATGTTTGGGGCTAACGTTTTCCCCGTTTGCTAATAGGGGCCCCTTCCTCGTAGCCATGGGTATGTCCTGGCACCCCGAGGAGTTCAACTGCGCCCACTGCCGCTCCTCGCTGGCAGACCGCGGATTTGTGGAGGAGAAGGGCCAGGTGTACTGCGAGCATTGCTATGAGCAGTTCTTTGCTCCCACTTGTGCCCTGTGCCAGCAGAAGATCCTGGGGGTGAGCTGCTTGATTGTATCGTAGCTGTGGACTACTTGGAAATTAGTAATTGGTGTCAAGGAAGTGTCGTCGAAATGAACTTTGAAGAAAAAAAATGATTCAAATGATCCAAATTTCCTCCTGTTTTGGTTCACAGGAGATCATGAACGCCTTGAAGCAAACCTGGCACGTGTCCTGTTTTGTTTGCTCGGCTTGCCAGCAGCCAATTCGGGGCAACATGTTCCACATGGAGGATGGGCAGCCATACTGTGAAATGGGTACATACAATACCTACATACGCAACATGCTGCATGTGACGTTTGTATCTATTTTTACCCTTTGTTACTATCCACAGACTACTACAAATTGTTTGGCACAAACTGCCACGGCTGCGACTTCCCCATCGAGGCAGGGGACAAGTTCTTGGAGGCTTTAGGATTCACCTGGCATGACACCTGCTTTGTGTGCGCGGTAGGTACCGGACACTTCCTCCGAAAGCCCACCCGAATATACGTCTATAGATAACTATATATATATATATATATATATCGTGGTGGCACAGTGGTCAACTGGTTAGCACATCCGCCTCACAGTGCAGGGGTGCAGGATTAGATTCCGTTTGTGGCCTTCCTGTGTGGAGTTTGCATGTTCTTGACGTGCCTGCGTGGGTTTTGTCCGGGTACTCCAGTTTCCTCCCACATTCCAAAAACATGCTTGGCATGCTGATTGAACACTCTAAATTGTCCCTAGGTGTGAGTGTGAGCGTGGATGGTTGTTCGTCTGTGTGTGCCCTGCGATTGGCTGGCCACCAGTTCAAGGTGTCCCCGCCTACTGCCTGAAGACACTCCAGCAGATTAGAAGATGGATAGAAAATAAACTACGAAGCTAACTCTAACCCAAATATGAGATGTATAATAAAAGAGGTGTCGTGTGTACGTGTGGCTTTCTCTTCAGGTGTGCACCGCCAATCTGGAAGGTCAAGCTTTCTTCTCCAAGAAGGACAAGCCTTTGTGCAAGAAACATGCCCACACAGTCAACATCTGACCCTGCCCCTGCAGCATTTTCTAACAATAGCCGAATTGATAATGACAGTCAAATGCTCCATATTTAAAAATGACTTCACGTGTATGTGTATACTGGTTAAATAATAACGGGTCCATTGTTTTTCCCTTTCTGCTTTCTTACGATTTATAGGTGCTTTTCAGGAGTCTGTTAGCCTTCTCTTATGGTTCTTGGTTTAATTTTAAGACAGAGGACATTTTGGTTTCCCACAGAGCAGGATATGATGCCGTCTATGGGGTCACAAAAAAATTTTGGATTTCATTGCTATTATGCTATATGCACAGTACGGTATAGTTGAAAGCACAACTGGTAACAGACTAAACATTTAACCACCATTTATTTTGAATAAAATACATGATGATTGTGTTTTTTTAGTATTATTTTGTAATATATATTTTACATTTCAATGTGACTAAATTGTATTGCCCTTGTCTTTATTTGAGTAATACCTATACGGTAGGATTTGCCCTAAATGATTAGCAATTAATCCCGGCTTCATTTCTTGTATTTACATAAAACAATTGTAATATATTCCTCCCGAATCTGCCGTGTTACATGCGCCTTGCCCATTTTCACGAGGGGAATAAAAACGGTTTTATGTAATACTGTATATGTTTTGATACTGCTTCATGTTATATTATAAATATTTAGTTCATAAAGTGAGAATCACTATCTGGAAAGGCAGAACGTTTGGCATTGCGCTCACTGTGTAGTGTACGTCGTGTCTGTTGGCCGCTGCGGGGATCGTGTACTTGCACTTTTACGAGTCGCCATAGGTTGTCGCTGTTGTAGCAGGAAAAAGACGCCGGTTGACAGCCGGGAGAAGCAAAGCAAACGCAGCAGCTCGACTCCCTCCCGACAACTCTTACCTACACAACACGGAGGGCGAGGTGGGATCCGTGCATGTTGACAGTGCCGCACCACTTGGTCCTTTTTGGAGCGAAAATCAGAAGGTAAGAATTCTCTCAGTGTTTGCGATTAGAAATGTTAATGGACGCTCTCGCTTGTTCCGAGGAGACAGTGGAAAGGTGAGTTTGAAGATGTTGGTAAATACATTATGTATGTCTGAATACATTACGTCAAATCGAGGTAATAGTCAAATCAGTGAGTTCTCGTGTTAGAGTAATAACATTAAATCAATACGAGACACAAATCAAGTCATTAGAGTAATAACATTAGATCAATACGAGACACAAATCAAGTCAATGTAGACACCCACTGACCCTTTCATTAGGTACACCTGCAAGATGTATCCAAAAATCAGCCCAGTTTTGATTGTCACTCTCTTCAATTGTGTACTGTAAATAATGTATGTATTGACATAAGCATATTTAAAAACTGCTACATCATACTGAAATTTTGAAAGCATCTGAATATATAAGTAAAGCAGGCAGCACGTTGCATTGTGGTAATACGTCTGCCTCACATTTGTTGTTCTCAGTTTGAATCTCAATTTCCAGGGCTACTCTGACTTCCTTCCAAGAACATGTATGTTAGTTTCTCTAAACACTGTCTAAATAAGAATGTGAACGTTTGTCTAATGATGACTAATCCAGGGTGTATGAGACATCTCTGACCAAAAGCTGTCTTTGGTTCACCAAAGCTTCTTAAGTGTTCATAGATTTGAATGTGAGTCCGAATGATTCTTTGTATGTCTGTGCCCTGTGATTGGCTGGCGACCGATCCCGGGTGTACTTTGTCTCACGCCCAAAGTTCCGGCACAGCCGCGACCCTAATGTGGAAAAAGCAGGATAGAAAATGGATGGACAGGCTGTACAGTGAAGAAGTTGTTATCATGTTGGCCTCCAGTCGAGATGTTCTGGCCTGGGTTTGTATCTTACGTTGGTTTTCTTCTAGCTCCCTTGCGCATTCCAGAATGATGCATGCTGTGATTTACGACTCAACAGGTAAGCAGATTCATATACAGATGTGCAGGAAATTCAGACACACTGTACCGTTGTTAACATGATCATTGAAGGACTGGCAATTTTGGCCACTAGGCTTTTCTGGTGTTTGAATTAATGGCACTGAAATACGCAGCAGGCTAACCATTGTATTTTGCTAAATGTCTCAAAATCAGCCCAAGCAAACATTTGATACATTCCTGTGAGAAAATGTGTTCCACAATCCCAATTATGGAGATTTGTTTCCCAGCTGTCCCAGTAAGACCCCTTTGAAATCAAGTTTAGATCAGTGGACACTGTTGGAGTTACCTGGGCCTTTAAGACGGGGCGGGGCTTCCACCGACAGGTGACAATTCACGTGACTTATTTAATTTAAAAAGAAAAAAGGTGTTGCGGTTTGGTTCAGTAGGAAATAACTCACTTCGTCGCCAGCGTAACCCCAAAATGGTAAGATACGTTTGTTACGTCCGCTTTTCTTTGTCAGGTCAAACTGCGTCAAGATTATCTTTTAGATTCGATGCTTGCTTGCTTTGTTTGTCTGCTTTGCTTTGTGTCCGTGGCGTTTTGTTTGCTGACTCGCTTACCGTTAATTGCTGTTCGCAATCGACGGTGCAAACACCTGCTGGAGTAGCGTTTAAACGACGTGGGCAAAAGTTATGAAGTAAAGATTTGCATTTGCAGAGGTGTCCATGCTTAGTTCTGTTTTGTTGGAGTGTTGCCACCTCATGGTTGTTCGGCTGCATTGGAAAGTTTAAAAGATGACTTTGCGTTTCCCGCTTGAATTAGCCAATCGGCGTTTTGCTTCCGGGTTCGACTGCTGGGATTTGTAGTCCTTTTGTTCCGTTCCACTTGTATGGTTTCTCATTGTTTTTTTTTCCCAAAACTTTAAAGGGCCGAGATCAGAACCATCAATAAATAAAGATGAGTTGAGACAAATTCAGGTTTATGCAGATTTCTTTTAATATATTGGACTTAGTTGTAAATCAAGGGTATGGCACACACACATTTGACTCTGAACGAGTCAACATCTGCACTCCTGGGGCTGCACCCGAAGGGGGGACTAATAAGAGACCCCCAGAGTGATCAAAAGACCCACCGGTGGCCCCTGGCACAGGTAATGAGTCCAAATGACTCTTCCATGGCAGGGATGCTATGTCAAGTGAGAGAGTGCGTGGCCAGACAGCAATTTGAGGTCTACCGCATGCTTGGAGTGCACGTTGGATTGTGTAATCGTGTGTGTGTTTACGATGGTGATGCATAGGCCAGGAAAGAGCCGATTCAAATTTGTTTGCAGATGGAGACATATTTATTCACTTTTCCCCGTTTCTGCCTGCTTGCATTGGGGCCGACCTATGCTGCGAGTCCCACAAGCACTTTCGTAAATGGTTTCATTGTTTAGCCTTGGTGAATTGTTGCAAATAATGGCTAGCGTGATGAACTTACTCACTCTTTGATTTATAGTTCAAATGAGGCCTTAATTTGTGCAAATGCAGGACGTTGACACACTACTGACCATTGATTGAGAGGAGGAGAACTGCTGTAAATGTTTAGTAACTGTGATGAATTGATGTTGAGTATGAATGAGAGTAATTTTGATACAACTCTTTAATCTGACCTCTGTTTTTGTTCAAGACAGCCTCATCCATCCGTCACTAGAATGATTGACAGATTAAGGACCAAATGCTCCATATGAGACATCATTGAATTGAAAAGCTTTCATCGTCAAAGATTAAGAAGCTCGTAAGAACGAATGTTTCCTTTTAAGAGGAATTGTTTGCATTTTTTATGACCATTCTCATTGAGGATTTTACCATCCAGCCCGGCAGTGTTGTTACACAGTCCACTCTGGTTCCCATTAGCAAGGAAGCACACGGGTTACCTGCACTGGCCATCTGCTATTTAAGAGTCAACGGTAGACTGTTTTCTCCTAAAGTGCTGGATAAGAAACAAAAGCAAAAAAAAAAAAAAAAAAAAAGAAGTGCAGCAATGACTTCAAGCTGCTGGAACTTTGACAACATGTGGGAGAATGAATTGAAGAATGAAAAGATGCATGACCACAGAGGAGTGTAGTGTTTGGAGTCAGGAACACATTAGGCCAAACAGCGTCAAGATTTTACGGGGCACAGACAGAGTCAAGACTCGCTCTTTCAGGAGTCTAGATTGAGTCAACAACAAGGCACTAAGGAGATGAGGGCAAAGTCAAGAAACCGAGTCTTGAACAGGTATTGCCAAAAAAAAGTTGAAGAAGCCGGGGGTCGAAATCAAGTGAAGACTTTGAGGAAGCGAAACAAAGTTGAGAGCAAGATTTTCAAGACCATGTTCACTTCAACTTCCCTCATTGATATGTTTTGGGAAATGTGGGGGAGAAGCTGGAATGTCTGGCGAAAACCCACACAAGCAAACTGGAAGCTCCACACGGGAACTTTTCAACACCAAATCTCTCAACTTTGAGGCGCACGTGACACTCTAGAGCTCCTTTTAGTAACTTGTGTTCATTTGAATCTGATCACTTGATGGGAAGCTCCCTGTCCTTTTTCTTTCATTTTTTTTGGTGAATTCAAAAAAAATGATACGAACAAAAAGAAGACTATTATGTCGGCACTCTCGTGACAGATATCACATCGACCCTGGAACACACACTCGAGCGGTTTCACTTTGACGACATCGTGACGAAAGTGATATCCAAAGCTAAAAGCTGTATTGATCCAACCAAGACCGGGTGTTCGTTTTCCTTCAGCGGTGGTCGTGGAAGGGTATAGATTCTGGCATAAACTGGTGAGGTTTGTTTGACCTCCAAAAGAGGCACGCTAATTGACACTCTGCTGGACACCATTTGCGCTTTGTAAAATAAACCACAGGACAACGAATCGTGTTTTTCGAAATGATCAAACGTGATCGACCAAGTCAAGACCTCGAATTGAAGGCGCTGAGACCAAGGTTCTGCTATAAAAAATAAAAACGCGATCTTGAACGCTGCCATAAAGTTCAGCTTTACAGATACCACCAACACCCAACTCGAGTTATTTCAAGTAGCGCTCAACGTTCTGTCCGTTACCGGTTTTGCCTTCCCTTTCGCAGCCTCGAACTATTTGAGAGACTTTTTTAACCAAACATAACTTTTAATGTGCATCCCGAAAATGGCTTTGGACTATTTTTTTGGACTATTTTCTTAAAAAAAAAAAATAAATAAATAAAATAAATAAAAGCGCCTAGCGAGTTTGATTCCCATTTTGAGAGCCACGCTAGCATGTTGAAACATTCTTCTTTTCATTAAACATTTTTTTTTGTGTGTCCTTGCTTACATTCAAGCACATACCAAGGAGAGGAAGAAGCAATCGTAGCAAGAAGAGGAAGAAGAGAAAGTTTGTTCGTTTGATGAAGTGCCTGGTGTCATCGCGTTGTTCTGGGTGAGTCACGATTTTAGTTTAGTCAAGTATTTCTTACTGTTACCATTGATAAAGAAATGGTTGCTAGAAATGTTTTTGTTTTCCAAAAACATTCCAATATGACTGAGGCAGTTAGGCTAGGAGGCTAACTCAAGTGAGTGACTACATAAAAATACATATCGACTCGATTTCAATCGAGCCACTCCTTTCAGCTTTACTCTTGTATCAGTACTCTGTGTTCAATATAAAACGGTATTTTGTGATGTGGGATTAAGTTAAAAGATGTCCTCCAATGGTGAGTTGTGCGGGCAATTTGCACGTCTATCCATGTCGGCTCCCGTTTGCTCCTTTGCTCGCTCGCTGGCTCCTTGGTGTTGCAGCTCTCACATTGTGACAGCTGCGCCGCTTTGTTGATTCCGCCAACAGGCCGAATGAATTTTTTTTCCCTGCTTGACTGCCACTGAGCCTTTGTGGTTTGGCCTCAAGTGACGTTCACGCGTGGCAGGTCTTCGCTGTGCCGAATGTTGTTGGAGATGTTGAATCGTGTCGTTGTTCTTTCGTGGCTTGGTCACTGTGTGTTTTTTTTTTTTTTTTTTTTTTTTTTTAGCCACCGCAACTCGCTCGAAGAGTCAAGGACAACCTGTTTTGTTTTAAAAACATGTTAGTCACTGTAAAATGTGAGCCGACAACGAAACACTGCTTTAAGATACAAGCTTGTGTATCTCAAATCATCTTTTCGATTCACATGAATGAAAATGCTATTAATTGGTTTCAGCTTCACCCAATAACGAACAAAAATATTTGTAATTTGTCTTTTAATAATAAAAAAAAAATGCACTCGATATTAGTATACTAAAAAATACAGTCATGACATAATGTAGAATGTAAATAAATTAAAGGGCCTTTTGCTATATTTTTATGTCACTTAAAATTACGTAAATGCTATAACACCCCTCAGGTGTGTTTCTATTCCACGGTTTTCACTGGTCGAGGGGTTGTATATTGATTGACCTTATAGCAAAAGCGAAATACAACTAAACTGTTCTTGGGCATCTTGGGAAACGCTGCTCGATGGGGTTTATGTCTGGAAAATGACTTGACGGATTTGAAACCTCCCACTTGCTAACATAAATATTGGAACTGGTGAGTTGGAATCAAATGTGCTGACTTTGAAGCATTATTGTTGTTTCAAATTAATGTGGGTTAAAAAAAAAAAAAAAAAAGACTGAGCCACACAATATTGGCCCTTCGTCCGCTGAAAGCTTCATCTTTAGTTCCGCTGCTGTCAAACCCGAGAAGGGCCCCCTCTTGCTCGACTGGCTGCATCAGCGGCTCTGAGAGCTTTAGCTAGCCCGGATCAGATGACAAAAAAAAAAAAGAGTAAGAGCGAGCTAACCTGCTACAGGTCGGATTGTTGTTGCAGGTGCGGTGGCAGGGCAGACTCAGCTGTTCATGATGCCCGCATCACAGAACTCCATACCGAGAGCTGCGGTCGCGCGTGACCGGTCGCCCGTTAACACGCCAGGATTCACAGATGAGGAATTTTTTTTAGGAGGGTTCCTTGTTCCGATCCATTCCACAGCATTTTTTCCAAGCAAGAGTTGTTGTTGTAAATTAGAGTTTGTGCACTCCCATTTCATTGACTCTGCCAAAGCACAAATGAGCCCCAATCAGAAGATGACAGATGGGCAATGATAAATTGCCAATTTTTTTTTTTTTTTTTTGCCGGGGCCATCTAACGTGGGCATCCAAGTTTGGTGATTCTTTTCTCAATTCTGGGAGAGTTTAAATATTATTAGCCCCACATCGAAAACTGAATAATTGGATTCAAGGTGAAACTTCTTCATCAACTCAGGATTGATATAAAATCGGTGTTTGATTTTTTTTGACGGAGGCCGCGGCTAACCTCCACTGGCTCGACTCCTTGGCTGGACTCGGAGGGCGTTAAGGTTTCGTTACGCACAGCTCGACATCCCGCCCGCTCGCACGTACCCTATTTGCACGGAGAAACGATGCTAATCATGTCACTCCGGAGAGAGCGAATTGGCCGCGCCATCTTGATTTTTCTCCCGGTAACCCTCTCACCGTAGGCAAGCAAATAATAATAAAAAGAAGAAGAAGGGAAAGGGGGGTCGGGTCAGAGACAGAATCCTGAGGGGCCGCGCTCGAGCTAAGTCCCTTAAATTGAACCTTCATTGGGGGGTTCAAAAGGACAAGCTGAGATGTGAAGGAGGAAGGGGGAAACTGTCGTTCCTCTGGTCAAGACAAGCCCCAAGGCTTCCTTCTCAGGGATCTGACTTCTGTCTGAGTAAACATGTCTGGAATGGTGCGCGCCATGGGTCTGGTGTGCGTGTGTGTGTCAAGTGCGCTCCATGTGAAGTGTAGCTCACACACTCTGGAGGTGGAGGCATGATCGGGATAGAGTATCAGAATGTCTCGCTAGACTCCTGTGCTGCACCGTGACTGTGTTTGGTATGCGACTCGGCGTAAGGCACACTTTCAAAACACGGCGCGTCATCTCCAAGGTCCGGTACAGTCTGTTGTTGACGTCGCTTTGTTTTTTTTTTTTTGGAGTGGGTTTTTCCCCATTGGAAAATATGTTGCCGTCATTCATACAACCAATATTGACTGTCCAGGGCATTTCTTGTTTTTAACTGTGAGTCCCATTCACCAAACTGCTGTGGCCTTCATTTGCCCACATGTGAGTGCATTGCAGTAGCTTCAATCGGTCGTAATTCAAATCATCTAAAATAGAGCTATTTTTCGTAGCGTACTCTCGAGATCTGCGATGACGGGCAGAAATTTCTATCCCGAAACAGTCGAATTAATATTTTTCTCTCAAATAACATGAAATTAATCGCACTTTTCAGGGAACCTTCCTCTGTTTATTTATAAAATACGGATTTGATAGCCCTTTCACCCCCCCCCCCAAAAATTATACCGTA